AATGGAACAAACGATTGTAATAATATTTCAATTTTTGTGGCATTTAGTGATCGATCCATTACAACAGCGGTATCTGAAATGGTTCGCTTTGAAATGCAGCTTGTTTTGATTAGACTCTCAATCCGATATTTGTTTTGTAGGCGCTTATCAACATATCTAAACATATGTCCATTCATCCATCGATCTATTTTGACTGCGCATCATTTATACTTTAAAAACGTGCAGTATATTACATCCATTATTTAGTAACAAGCCGGAATTTAAATCAAAAAATGATTGGTGAATAGAAGGGATGATCGAAGGTTTGTGAATGATACACTGTAGAGTCATGGCTGGCTGATCGGTTAATTGGCTGTGCGTGTAGTGAAATTGATGATGATTTGTTACGTGATGAAAAAACGGCTGCATTACAGTGCTCTGGAATTCAGTTAGAAGTCAGTTGTTGGTTGATAACGAATCATAGATGGCTAATGCAATCATATTCGCTGATAGTAGACTTATAAGTGTAAGAGTGTGAGATGATCTTTCTTCCTCAGTTGTTTTCCAGTGATTCAGAGTATGAATAGATTACATAATCTGTTGTTGGTTCAGGTAGGTTCAGTGAAATTAAGGACAACAAAGAAATACTTTTAGTTGGTAGAGCATTCGATCGTTGTGTTATACTGCGGGTTCATTCCGGTTGCGGCAAGAGAAAGTTTTTAGTCGAATTCGAATGTTAGTATGATGTTTGATTCTGATTCAGTTATTCACTGGTTCGTTGGAGAGTGACATTATTATTGATTCGTTTGTTGATCGTTGTTTTGTTTATGTTGATTGGTTACTTAGTTTGTTCGTACGATTCCATCGAAATTCTTGTCCGCTCTTTCCCTATCTTGCTTCTGGATCTGCCTTCTTTGCTTACTTCGTTTTCTTCGGGTGAAAATCTGAGGAAGGGTTTTGTTCTATTATTTTTCTCCATCTTCTTCTGTCTTTAATTAAATCTATCTAATCTTTTGGTTTTCTCAGTTGATTTCATATCCTCTTCATAACACTCTTCCTGTTCATTCTGTCTCTTGCTTTCTAAGTAATTTCTTCTCTGTATTCCGTAATTTTCATTCAGCCTTCTTAAGGTTTCTTTCTATCGTGTCCAATCGTTCTCGTTCTTAATCGTAATCTCATAATTATTTTTGTCATCGTCATCACCACCACCATCCATCCATGTAGCTTCTCACTTGCAATGTTCCCTAGTCGAATTTATCGCCTGACTAAGTGGTGGCGAGTAGTGTTGAGGGCTGCAAGATATTTTGCGGAGGCCGCCGATCGAACGGCCCCTTTCGGTTTCGCTCATGGCACCGAAATTTGTTCCTAGATTGCCACTGATCGAACAAGCCCTTATGGTTGCGATCGGGGGCCTTCGATAATCGGTCGGTAGTCCCCGACCGCATTTTCGGGGGCGCTTGCAATTCGCGGGCCGTCGACCCTACTCTAGTGATGAGGGTATAGATAACAGCGTCAAGTGTAGATTGTGCGTGCACCGGTCGGTACATCATTATAACAAGTATTCTGTTATCCTACAAACACAAACATTGTTGTGTAGTAAAGAATGAGCAAAACACCGATGAGAAGAAGTGATTCGACATAATTCGACTCGATTCAATCGAATAAAATGTCCGATTGCATTCAGCAATCTGCAGTTGATTCGCGAACAATTCATCAATCCCTATGTGAACGTAATATGTTTTCACTGATTCGCGTGAATTGTACATTCAGTCTCGTAGTGAATTGGCAATGTCGACGGTTTATGCTACCGCATTATTTTAGCGTATTCACTGAGAATCGTTGAAGACGTTTCGATGCGATGCAAAAAAATGACATTCAGAAAAACGATTCATTCGTTCACTAGAGCGCCGATTTACGATCTTTATTAGTTTGACGTTCTTGTAACATATCTGGCCGATGGGATGGTTTTATGTTCGCGTATTGGACAGAAATCGCGTGT